GGACACACAGGTGAGGTTTCCCCTCTTTTCCTCATTTTCCTGGTAAATGCACTTGTATAATAAAGTAATCTAACCACAAAAAGGGTGTTTTTTAAACAGCTCTCGGAATTATAAGATGCACAATTCTGGGAACATGTGTGGCTCTAACTGTGGGTCATCTGTCCCCAAGGAACAGTGAGAATGACTGTTGGGGTGATGCTGGGGTTCACCCGGAGCCTCCGACACCCCCGCCCCGCCCTCCGCAGGCTGGGCTCCCACACGCCTTCCCAAGCCTCAGTCGCCAAATGCTCCCAGGCATGTGGCTCCTCTGAGCTGGGCGCTGCGGAGCTCTGGCCCGGCTGACCCGGGGCCACTTGGGCGGCCTCCAGAAGTGGGCGTGTGCCCGCGGGGAAGGACGGGGCTCTGCTTCTGAGAAGCTGAAACATCTACGCTCACGATAACACGCGTTTAAAAGTCAGACACTCAGGCCGGCGCCTTCGTCCAGCCCCAGCCCACCCCCAGGACTCCTGAACTCGGCCTGTCTTCTCCCACGCGGCTCGGTAAACACCCACAGGCCCTCCTCCTTTTCCAAACCCCATTCCCACTCAACCCTCTGCTCCTTCGCTCTGTCCTGCCCGGGCACGCAGCAGCCTGCCATACACTTTTACTCCATAAACCTGCCACTCGTTGTTTGTTTGTTTTTGTGCCACAAACCACATGAGAAGACTGTGTCAGAAGCAGTCCAACTGCGCGGGGGCGTTTCTGATGGATGTTGCTGAGTTTCGCCGGCTCACCCTGCTGGCTTTCCCGTGGCAAAGTGCCTGCAGGTGGAGACTCCATCCTCCCAGACCGTCCCCTGCCGCCCTCCCGTCCCAGCTTCTCAGCTCCCTTGGCGGCCACGGGCGACCACGTCTGAGAATTAGCCTTAAAGCATCAGCCACGTGCGGCCATGTCTGAGAATTAGTCTTAAAGCATCAGCAGGTCCTGGCACGCGGGAAACGCCCAGGAAGCGACAGGTCACACACGCCTTTGGATAAAAGGTTCCTCATCTCGCTTTCCCCCCTCCTCTCTCTGCCTTGGGTCAGAAATCTTCCCAGACCCATAAAAACCCTTTTCATAAAGTTACCAAGTGCCCAGGAAAGAGGCGCTGTCGTTATTGTAGGAGCTGGGAAGGGAGTGACCCTTTCCCAGCGAACCGGTGAGCGCCTCCCCGGTCCCAGCGGCTCCTGGGTTCCCCCAAACGGAAAACTGCATCCGCCCCCGTGGGGCCTGGCAGGAGCGGGCCAACCGGCCCAGGAGCG